CCCGTTCATTTTAGTTTCCAACCTGAGCCATCCCTGATGCTCAGGATGATTAATACAATGTCAACACACCATAAAACCTGTAACGGGATATTTCTTTATTTATTGGCAAGGTACCTGCTCATTAAAAAATGCTCAGATGAATCACAGGCATGTGAGTTCGCTTTCCTGAGGAAATTAAATAAATGTGGGGTTCTCCCAAAGCTTACACCCTGTTCTCTGCTGCTCCAGAGAAGCGGACATGGAGCAATGGATCCAAACTACAAGAAAGAAGATTCCACCTAAACATTAGGAAGAACTTCCTGACAGTAAGAGCTGTTCGACAGCGGAATTTGCTGCCAAGGAGTGTGGTGGAGTCTCCTTCTTTGGAGGTCTTTAAGCAGAGGCTTGACAACCATATGTCAGGAGTGCTCTGATGGTGTTTCCTGCTTGGCAGGGGGTTGGACTCGATGGCCCTTGTGGTCTCTTCCTACTCTATGATTCTATGATTCTATGATTTACATCTGCCGCTAGTGGGCATTTGAAGTGCCTTTCCCTGCAGTGTCTTCCGCACTACCAGAGTACAGGGTTGGACTAGATCAGGCGTCAGCAAACTTTTTCAGATCCACTGTCCCTCAGACCTTGTGGGGGGCCAGACTATTTTTTTGGGGGGGGGGGGATGAACGAATTCCTATGCCCCACAAATAACCCAGAGATACTTTTTAATTAAAAGCACACATTCTACTCATATAAAAACACCAGGCAGGTCCAGCCCCACAAATAACCCAGAGATGCATTTTAAATAAAAGGACACATTCTACTAATGTAAAAACACGCTGATTCCCGGACCGTCCGAGGGCTGGATTTTGAAGGTGACTGGGCCGGATCCAGTCCCCCAGGGCCTTAGTTTGCCTCAGGGTCCCTTCCAGCTCTACGATTCAGCTCCGACACGCAACTGTTGAGCACAGAGGGCCGGTCACATGCACAAGCGATGGCTTTTCAGCAAGTGCTAGGATGCTTGGGAAAGCGTGGGCCTAACCAAACACCCCTTTCCCTTCCACCCCACTCCCCAACCCCTTTCAATAAACCCTGCCGCAGTCTCCCCACAACGGTTAAGCATGCAAAATATGTCACCTGAATCCAGGTTCTTTGCAATCAAACGACTCTGGAGCATTCCCTGCACCACCTGGGGCAATAAAATTTCTGCTCCCTTTCAAGAGAGGCTGTGGTGTTTCCGACACAAACTCTGAAAGGGTCTTGTAAACTGTGAATGACCTGACATAGCATCTTGCATTGTAGCTCCTAAGTGTGTTGCCAGGGTGAGCTAAGGACAGGGTTTAAGCCTCCGCTCTGAATTTACTCACTTTTGTCAGCTGACGTCAGCCCTTGGTAGCTATTATTTCCACAGAAGAGGGAGGTTTGCAGCAAGAAAGAAAAAGGAGAGTCGCGCTCTTATTGCTTCAACGCCTCCACCAGCAATTCCAAAATGGCGTGCTTGGGGGCATGATGGTGTGCCAAGAAAGAACTAGCAGCGTTTGTTGATAAGTATATTTATTAAGTAATTTAAAGCCCCAAATACCAGCCACATTGGAGGTTCCAGCCATCTCTGTATGATTATCTGGCCCAGTCTCCTTCCAATCAGCTGTGGGTAATTCTGTCCAATCAGTATCAACTGACTGCTTGACTGACTGCTCTCAATCCGCCCAATGGAGAGGTGGCGCAGAATTCCCCACCCTCTGAAGAGGTTGCCTGTTGCATCCCTGAATGAGTCAGGGAAGGCTAATCAGAAAGAAACATGACTCATAGAGAAACACATGGTGGCTGGGACAAAGCAGAGTACTTATTGTTATACACCTAGAGGTAAGGGTTTCTTGTTTTGTTGTTTTGTTTTGTTTTGTTTTGTTTTGTTTTGTTTTGAAATGGGTCCAGTTCTAATTCAGGAGAGGGTGTGAAATGTCTCAACATAGGTTCAGAGAATGCTGACTTTCTGAGTGCATGCACTTTGCAGAGATCCCTCTTCTTGGGAAAAATAAATGGTCCCATGAATAAATCAATAATGTGCAGGTAGAAAATATATATATAATGTGTATATTATATATATATACACACACACACAAACACACACACACACACACACACACACACACCGTATTTTTCGCTCTATAAGATGCACCAGACCATAAGACACACCTAGTTTTTGGAGGAGGAAAACAAGAAAAAAAATATTCTGAATCTCAGAAGCCAGAACAACAAGAGGGATCGCTGCGCAGCGAAAGCAGTGATCTCTCTTGCTGTTCTGGCTTCTGGGATAGCTGCACAGCCTGCATTCACTCCATAAGACGCTCACACATTTCCCCTTACTTTTTAGGAGGGAAAACGTGAGTCTTATAGAGCAAAAAATACGGTATATATATATAAACTTTGCTTCAATCTCAGATATGCTACATGAGTTAAGGGCCAGTTTTTAAAACAGTGGTGTAAGGGGGGGGGGGAAATCCAGTTTCTGATACTTGCGAAATTTATTCAAGGAACAGCTTTTCTTTTAAAAAAAAAGAAGAAAACCTCTGGTGTGACACAAAACTTCAAAGCCCCAGCTAATCACACAGTGTTTGCAGAACATACCATGTTTGCTAACTTGGGGGGGGGGGGGGAGAGAGAGAGAATAAAAAGGTGAAGTCACTGGAATGATTTATTACCCCACTGATTATGTTTAGATTAGGAGAATTTACTCAAGATGGCCAAAGTAAACCTCGTGGCCTTTGTTTGGGATACTTCAGTTTATGAAACTGTCATTTAAGCGAGCCATTAGAAATAAACAGATATGCAGAGATACAATCCGCTTGACAACACTATATATATATATATATATATATATATAATCACACACAAAAAGGGTGCAATTGGATGCTCGCCCTCCTTACCAAATTGGAAAATGTCTCATGTAGCTTGTTCATTAAAAGATCATTAATTACGAGTGCAAACACCGTGGGGGGGGGGGACCATTTGCTTTTAATAGGCACGTCTATTTGGAGACCTGTCCAAAAAAGGCCCTTTAAAAACACAAATGGTAGGTTGTGGGAAAACAAAGCCAACACAGTTTCGTCAAGAGATGCAATCTGAAGCTGACTCGTTAGAACAACAGGCTGGGGGCCCGTTTAAAAAAATAAAATAAAATCAGGATTAAGGGGCCAAGAAGAACGGCTGAATTTTGCATCGGAACTGAAAGAACCGATAGCAGAAGATGGGACTGCCGTTTGTGGCACTCCACAGACACCTGCCTGTTTATTATTATTTCCAATTATGTATTTATTTTTGCAAAATTTACAGGCCACTTGATTGCAGGGAAAAAACAAACCCAAAGCAGTATACAAAAAAAGAAAAAAGAAACAAAAAAGAAAACCCACTAAAAAGTTGACAACCATAATTCAAATCATACAGAAAGCTGAAACCGCAATAGAATAGACTAAAACAAATTAAAACTCATGCAAGCTTTCTAACCATCTGGGTTGTCATGTCTAAATAAGGACGTCTTCAGCAGGCGCCAAAAGGAATATTACTACTACCCACACTGGAGGAATGGCAGATGAAATTGATGGACTATATGGAATTGGCGGAAATGACTGGCAGAATCCGTGACCAGGGAGAAGAGTCGGTGAAAGAAGACTGGAAGAAATTCAAAGATTATTTACAGAAATATTGCAAAATTAAAGAATGTTAGAGTGATGATGGAGTGAAATTAAGCGGCTTCTAGCTGTACAGATTTTAAAGTTATATATGATCAAGATTAAGGATTAGGATTAAAAAGGTTAAAAGAATGGAAAATTGGTTTTTAATAGGTAAAAATTTAATGTTATAATATATTAAGATTAAGGATTGGGGTTAAAAAGGAGGGTAAGGAATTGCTGGACAAACAAATTGAATTGGAATACAAAAGAGGGAGGTATGAGGAAGTCCGGGAAATAAGTAAATGTAAAAGAAGTTATGAAAAGACGGAATTGTTTTTAACTGTTTTTTTTTCTTCTTTTTATCTTTTTGTATTTTGTATTTTTTATTGTGTATTTTTCTTTTTTTTAATCAAATTTCTCTTGTTTGTTAATGTGATTTTATCTTTTCTGAAACTTTAATAAATATTAATTAAAAAAAAACAAAAAAAACAACAAAAGGAATATTACTACTACTACATTTCTCTCCCACGCTTCCTCTTAGGACCGCAAGTTGCCATACATGGTTCTCTCCCGCCCCCCCTTTTATATTTTGTCCTCAGAACAACCCTGTGAGGCAGGCTAGGCTAGGTAGAAATGGTGATTGGGCTCAGCTTCATAGGTGAACGGGGATTCGAACCCAGGTCTCCACACTGACTCCTCCATGAGCTCGCGCAGTGGTGTGGTAGGCGCCACTGCAGCTTTCTCGCTACTGCAATCGGAAGAATATTTCAATTGCTTTTTTCCCTTTCATTTCACTTTCAATTTGTATGCCACCTTTCTATATTACGATACGCAAGGCGTTTTAAAAGCTAAAGAGACAGCAGAATAAGGCAGAAGAGATCACACCTAAAAAACAACTAAAAGTCATAATAAAAACACAGCTTTAAAATACACAACTTATACCGAATAAAGCAATATTCAATCATCCATTGGAATATACTGGTAAGCAGCAAAATTAAGTATCAGCATAATACTAATTGAATGGTTTGCACTTAACAACTGCAATAAAAAAATTACTAAACTATAAAACAAAAATAATAAAATGAAAATAACAGCAAGTCACAATGCACAAAATACTGCAAGAAACACAATACTGTGTAAAAGGATCAAACTGAGAAACAAGGACACACAACTTATTATATATATATATATATATATATATATATATATATATATATATTTTACCCCTGAACTCATCTTCAAATACAGTGTCATTTTTCATCTGCAAACCTTCCACAACCAGGCGCCCTTCTTAAGTTTTCAGTTACAGCTCCCATAAGCCCCAGCGGTCAGGAGCCATTTTTATGGATAGTGGGAACATTGTTCAGGAAAAGCCTTGCCTAAATATAGTACTCTCTCTCTCTCTCTCTCTCTCTCACACACACACACACACACACACACAGAGAGAGAGAGAGAGAGAGAGAGAGAGAGAGATTAAAGGCTATGCTATTTTCTGTACTGTCCAAAACTTCCTAAACAAAACAAAAAATAGTAAGTCTGAGCCCGGAAAGTTATAAATACTTGAATTGGGAAGGAGAAGGAAGAAGAATCTGGCTCAAGAATCCTTAAAAAAAAATGAAACAGAACTATTGAGAAATTATAACAGGGATATTTGCTCTATTGAAGCCCTGTATAATTTGGCCCCTTTCCATTTGACGGCCAAATCCTGAGTTTTAATTAAGTCAGCAAAAGTAGTGCAGGCTTCAAACGGCTGATTTTTGTCTCAGATTATTCTGTCTTCTTCTTCTCTCTCTTCCACCCCCCACCCCCATTTTGGAGCCCATCCAGAAAAAACATATGGAGAACAGGATGTAGACCAGAAAGTGGACTTCTTTCTGAGAAACAGTTCGAAACATTGCTACGTAGGCCATTCAGAAATAAGTGGCCGGAGGCTGCTGAGGGAACATTTGAATCTAATAATAATAATATTAATAATAATAGCAGCAATTCTTGCTGGTTTATCATTTTCATATGGTTTAGTACTATTTTCAACAACAATTTATTACTGCTACTCATGTTACAATTTTTAAAGACTTCACTCCAGGGTCTACATTGACCTTGCAGTTTTTATTCTGGTCAGAAAGGCTCCCTTCTCTATCTCCAGCTGCCTTGCGAGTGATTTACGGACCCGTTATCTAACACTTGCTATTAGCAGGCGAGAGGATTTCCAGAGGGACCAGAGATCAGTAGTGAGAATCTACTAAGCAATCCCAGATGCAACAGCCACTAGTCCAAAACAGCCACTGCGTAATCGGAATCTCTCTCTCTCTCTCTCTCTCTCTCTCCAACCGCACTTCTTTCAGGTTGTGGGCTGAAATAGTAAATGTGAGATGTGCTCGTTTTTGGACGTACAACCTGAGAACGGCACGGAGCAAGGAGAAGCAAATGGTAAGATTGCCTGTGCATGCTCCCCCCTCTCTAAAATAAAGTAGAGCAGTTCGCCATGTCGTACAGGAAAACCGCTTCTTAAAAATATACATACGCTGCCGTAGGGGCAGCCAAACAATTTGGATACTGCCTTAGGAACATGAGAACATAGGATGCTGTCTGATATAGAGTCAAACTATCGGTCTCTCTAGCTCAGTATTGTTGACCAAGAATTACAGGCTGGTTTTGATCCTTACTTGGCGATGCTGAGGATTGAACCAGTAAAGCAGACGCTCCACCACTGAATTATAAACCTTCTAGATCTTCTGTCTCTACCACTTGCCTTGCAACCCCATGACAGACACAATTAGGGATGGAGTGGAAATTCAATGCAGGCAAAGCTACCCACTTTGCAAAACAATATCTACCTGCTTTTTCAAAACAATACGCAGACTAAAACACTGTTTCTCTTTGGACACATCTGTGTTTAGGGGGTATCTGTCAAATATGCTGATTGAAAAATAAATAAAAATCCAGGCTTCAAGCTTTTGAGAACAGGCATGAATTAAAAACAAAACAAAACTAGAGTTGGAAGTCAGCTTTTAGGTCACCAAAATTGAACAATTTAGTCACCTGTATCTAACAGATACACACACAACCACCTCCCATACTGAAAATTCTCTCCAAATCTGAACTTCAAATTTCAAAATTAAATTGTACTTCCAGCTGTGTGTTCCAAACCCAATTCTCCTTTTGAAAGCCTCTTCCTGTGCTTGGAAGATGAACCAGATTTCTAATATATATATAGTTGATGTGTGCATATGTTCCTGCTATTCCTGCCTTTTCCTTGAGACACTAATTCCTCCAAGGCTATAAAACGGCTATTAAATTAATGTGATACAGCACAATACACAAATGGTGGAATTTTAACATGCATATTGAGTGTCCTGCTTTTCTAACTAACGATAACAACATCACAGTAAAAAACTGTTTCCAATTAAATAGACACACACGCAAAATAATTGAGTCACTACAGCAGCGTTCCAGTTAGCACCCAAAACTAATATTAAAACTCCCCTTGCAGAAATTGCATACCTTTCTAAGGATCAAGCATTGCAACATCTGGAAATGTACAGTCAGCTGCTTCCATCCGGTTTTACACACCATATTTCCTGCTAAGGATGGATTTTTCTCAGTTTTATTCATTACTTAGCAAACGTGTGGCAGCAACTTCAAACAGGAGGAACTCCCAAGGAGAACCTCTCCCTTATTTCCAGTGTGTCACAACTGGAAGAATCCCAGCTGCAACTACAGAATGTTCTGATCGGTCCCACGTCGGCAGAACCTGAGCCAAATTTAAGGACTGGGGATGTGCCTACTTACCGATAAAGCTATGCTTTCCTCTCTGTAACGGTCACCTACAAGGATGGGGAAAGACACATAGCCAAGCTGAGCAGTTGACTCCTTACCTCTCTCGCCCTGACCTAGCCACTGTGATCCACACGACGGTCACCTCTAGGCTTCATTATTGTAACTTACCCTACGTTGGGGCTGCCCTTGAGACTGACCCAGAAACTCCAGCGGGTGCAGAATGCCGCGGTGAGACTCCTTATGGGGTCTTTGCCATGGGATCACATTCGTCCAATGCTATACCAGCTGCACTGGCTCCCGGTGGAGTACAGGATCAGGTTTAAGGTGCTGGTTTTAACCTTTAAAGCCCTATACGGCCTAGGACCCTCGTACCTACAGGCCTGCGTCTCCTGGTATGCCCCACGGAGGACCTTACGGTCTTGGAGATCCCGGGCCACAGGGAGATCCCGGGCCACAGGGCGGTTAGGCTGGCCTCGACCAGAGCCAGGGCTTTTTCGGCCGTGGCCCCAATCTGGTGGAACGCTCTGTCACAAGAGACTAGGGCCCTGCGGGATCTGACTATCTTTCCACAGGGCCTACAAGATGGAGCTGTTCCGCCAGGCCTTTGGCCAAGGCACAGTCTGACCCCCTTCTTTCGTAATTCTCACAGAACTCTAGCCCAATGGTTGCCATTAATTTGATTCTGAATTGATTTTAGAATGTATTTGAATTAATTGAATGTGTGATTTTATGTACACTGTGCTATTTTTACTTGTTGTTAGCAGCTCTGAACCCGGGCTTTGGCCAGGGAGTGCGGGATACAAATAAATGATGATGATGATGATGATGATGATTTCACACAAGTACGCACCCTGCCTTTTTCATTCCAACCACCCAAATTTCGCCTTCTCCCTGAAATCTTTTATAGTACTGCACATCTGGGCAATAAAGAACCCATTTAAAATAGATCCCTGCCCCAAAGCTAATTAACTGTATGCAAATCATTTCCTTACATCTGCCTGTCAGCGGACTCTCATCCATACTAATGGCCAAACCCAAATCCATAATAAATGTTGTTGTTTTTAATAGAGGTGCAATAACACTCAAGTGTGTGCTATTTTTTTTGTCCAACGAAAGCTGAGACTTAAAAAAATAAAAAAGCTGCCCTAAACTTCTCACAACTAAGGAAAGAGGGGAAACATGAAACAATTACCACACCATAAATTTAAAGCACTTTTCTACCACTATAAACAGCTGTGGCTCCCCCCGCAAAGAATCGTGGGAAGTGTAGTTTAAGGGTGCTGAGAGTTGCTAGGAAACCCCTCACAGAGCTACAGTTCTCAGCGCCCTTAGCAAACTACAGTCCCCATGATCATTTGGGGGAAAAGCCACGACTGTTAAAGCTTTAAATCTGTGGTGTGGCAGGACATCCGATAAGCCGTGGTCTTCTGCCACCAGCTCTCCAAATTTTCTTCCCCTTGGAAATACGGCCACTCGCGCCACATCCCAAGAAAAACAAACGGTCGCCATTCCGTGAGCTGAAAAGAATTTGCACCATATTATAAATTTGACAGAGAGGCCTATCTTGCATTTCACACAACGGTTAAACCCGGCACTACAAAACAAATCCCGCTGCAACAGTTGGGATGCTTTTGTTGATGTTGGCCAGTTCATGTCGTCACTAACGTACTGAGCCTGTGTTTTATGTCCCAATTCCTAGAAACCGATACCTTGAGAAAGGAAGAGGGGATTTTAATCTCTGCCTAATGTATTGCTATTTTGACCTCGTGGGGGCAAAGCCAAGTTGAGGAGCTGGAGCCAGGCTGCTTATTATTTAACTTAATTTATTACACTTACACTCCATGCTTCCTCCAAGCTCCTCAGAGAAGCTTACAGACAAGCTCCCTTGAATTTTCCCATCCCAACGGGCTTTTTCTTGTGTTCCCATTGGTGCAATTTGACCCACCCTTCTCACTACGGTCCCAAGGATGGTTGCAACAAGAGACTCTTGAGAACCACCAAGGCTGGGAGATATCTGGTTTTCAACATCATGGTATATCACCAGCTAAATATAGTGATGTACTGATACATCATGATGTCTAGAACGAAAAGCCTTCCCATGTCAGCTGAGCAAGATCCCATGCTGCTCACACCAGAGGGGCAAGGAGGGGGGCTTCCTTAAATGGACTACAGTGGTACCTCGGGTTACATACGCTTCAGTTTACAGACTCCGCTAACCCAGACATAGTATCTCGGGTTAAGAACTTTGCTTCAGGATGAGAACAGAAATCGTGCTCCGGTGGCGCGGCAGCAGCAGGAGGCCCCATTAGCTAAAGTGGTGCTCCAGGTTAAGAACAGTTTCAGGTTAAGAACGGACCTCCGGAACAAATTAAGTACTTAACCTGAGGTACCACTGTATACCAGAGGTCGGCAACCTAAAGCCCATGGGCCAGAAGCAGCCCATGAGGGTCGCTTAACCGGCCCATTAGCCACCCCCGAACCGAGCCACCAGCGCAGGGACTCTCTCCTGTGGCTCCAGAAATTGCTTCTGCGCATGCCCAGATGCCGGAAATCACTTCTGCACAAGCCTTGCCGACCCCTGGCCTATACCCAGAAGTAAACTTCGCTGGAGGAAAAGAACCAGTTTTTGGGGAACTGCAGGAGGTGCAAGGAGGGTTCAGCTCCCCTCGCCCACTTACATTTCTGCTCAATAAACTGAACCCTCACAACTGTACTTTAGA